TGGTGGTACCGCTTCGGCTGGTGCTGCAATGTGCACCCATCCACTTGATTTACTGAAGGTTAGCCAGAGTTGTATTTCACAAAAGTGCTAGTGCAGGGTGGGACTCAGATGGGAACAGTCTTTTAGACTGAGTCCTCCCCAGCTTAGATGAGAACAATCGTTTTGTGATTTTACACTTTTCGCGGTCAGCACAAAGAGAAGAATGGCAAAAGTTCATGAACGATTTGAGAAAAATTTTAGCTTCTGAGGCCCTCGCACTGCTTAAAAAAAAAAAAAAAAACTAATGCATGTCCTATCACGTGAAAGCTACATTCATGCTATTTTTCAAACAATTTTTTTTTTAAAAAGAAAGTCCCCAGTCATCAATTTGTTGATTGACGAGCAACACACCACGCTCATTCGGATTTGTCTTCGTTGCACAGTCGCAACGACATCTTCCACGCCGCTCATCTGCCGAATAGACTGATTGTTTGTAAGGGCACGAAGAGACACGCCCACAAAAAGCCACGCCCAGCAGCCTCCGACTGTTGTCTCCGTAACAGCCAGCATTCGCTCTTCTGCTTTCATCAGTGACCGCATTTTACAAGTGTGTGTTAATTGACTTCAGTGAAGTTGATACTAGTTGCTGATGAGGGTGCCTTGAACTTTTTTTTTTAAACGAGAACACTTTAGGTGCATTTGCAAACTCAACAGCATGGTAAACTTGGTATTGTTGAAATGACAATGAAAATTATACGTAACGATGGCATTCGAGGTCTTTACAATGGTATTTCTGCTTCGTTGCTACGACAGGTATGGTTTTCCTGGATTAGAAAGGCAGATTTCTGAATTTGTTAAGTAATGTGAAGCTAGTAAGTGATAAACGACTGGCTGTAACAGCTCGCAGATTGTTGCGGAACACCCGTAAAAAATCAAATTGTCGAAAATTGTCAATTTGCTGCATATCATAGCAACGGCAACAGTACAAAGCAAAATGCGAATAACAAACATACAAATCTGATATGAATGCTCCAACTGGTATGTGGAACACAAAAACTCGTGGTGGGAGTGGAATGGCACGTTGCGTCTGTGAAAAGGAGTGATTCGATCCCCTCCCGCTCCCATAACCGTTTACAAAAAGAATCTTCGCCAGCGAAACTGACAAATGATAGGAACAGATTCTTCTGCGCTTCAGTGCTGTCGTCCACCAATCATTTTTAGACGATTTTTTGTTTTATCCTATAAAAGGTGTGAGTTACTTTTTGAGTTTTTGTGCTTTTCAGATGACATATTCATTGACTCGATTTGGAATGTATGAGCAATTGAAGAAACAATTTCCTGGAGGTTACCTTTTTCATTTGATAATTTCTTCCATAGTAATTTTCTTAATTTTTCTTTTAACAGTTGGTGAATTGCTCTTTCTCCGCTGGTGAGCTTCATGGCGAGGAAACGAGGGAAATTCGATAATTTTTTGTTTCATTTTTTAGATGCAACAACTATTCCATTCTATCAGAAAGCCTTAATGGCCGGTTTAAGTGGTGCATGTGGCGGTTACATTGGTACACCGGGCGATATGGTTAATGTTCGAATGCAAAATGATATGAAGGTTGGTTTTGCCTTTTTTTCTCCTCTTCCGTCTGTGCAATCTTACTTGAGCTGTTGAGGGAGGGAGGGGGAGGGGAGAGGGTGCGAAAGAACCACTACCCCCTCCCTGCTCTCCCGGATCCGCTATGAGCAAACTGAAATTTGTCCTAAACCTAATGTTTTTTTCCGGCTTTATATTCCCATTATTTAGCTACCACCAGCCGAGAGACGTAATTACAAGCATGCCATTGATGGTGTATTTCGAGTGGCACGTGAAGAGGGTTTAACGAAACTATTCAACGGTGCTGCAATGGCCACCTCAAGGGCAATTTTTATGACCATTGGACAGTTGTCGTTCTATGATCAGATCAAGCAAATAGCAATCGCCACCGGATATTTCAAAGATACTCCCACAACACATTTCACCTCCTCATTCGCCGCGGTATTTTTCATTTTTTGTAAAA